TGCAATTCGGATTTAAAGGGAAATGCTGCGCGAACGGCGGACGTCGATGTGGAAATTTAATATACATCGGACGGGGGCTTGACACGGTCACGGAGAATCGGAGGTATGCGAATCCAACAAGGCATGCGAATTCAAGATCCAACAATAACCTGTCGCGGGCAAGGAGAGCAGGTTCTCCTCGCGACGACTCAATACACATAACACGACCGATCGCGGCAAACCGCGAAATTAGACAGTGCTAATTGCGAATGCCATGTCCGAATTATATCGTCCGATGTATTGCGCGAATATTAATCAACTCGAGGAAATTTCACGAGAAACGTCAACGTCGTTAAGTATCGTTGATGATTCCTTATTTCAGAGTATTGGTTTTGATTACAGAAATTACGTATGAAAATATATTTTCTAAAATTAGTATGAACGACGAACAGTTTTATTGGACGCAAGAAAATATTCTGATAATCAATGTGTAAAACTGGTTAGCTCGTAAGCGCTTGAAATTTATTAAAAAATAAACAAAAACGTGCTCTTCCCACATACTTTGTTCGTTATTACCTCTTGTGCTTGATTATTTCATTCAAGGATAATCAATATTTCCAATTATAAATCTTGTTCGATGTGTGTATTGTATAAAGTATTTCCTTTCACTTTAACAATTTTAAAACTATTGAAATTTATAGTTCCCGACTGGGAAAAAGTTGAATATTCTTTTTTATAATGATAAAAACGTGGAAAGCTTCGTGATCGAAAATGGTGTAATTTCACAATATAAGTAAAGACGTTAGAAGTATGGCACAATACACAATACACATTGTGCGTAAAGATAGTAGTCAAATCTAATTCCGCAGGAATATCAATATTATTATCATAAGCCTTTGATAAGCAAGTGACATGTACTGTCGATATCGGTTGCATAAACAGTCTTAAGTGCATACGCAGTGGCACTGTGTGATCAAAGGTACAGAATTAATACATGAGCTAATCGTACATCAGCTTGTATGTGTATATGATAAAACGACATATTCGAAACTTTCTACATTGTTTGAAAAGAGTGTTTCTAATCCGGAAAATAGAATCAGTATAACATTCTCAGCAAGAAATTTTTTGATTATAGCAAAAAAGACTAGTGCATGTGATGTGGCACATTTTGATTGTAAAATCTGTTTCTTCAATACTGATTTATTAAATTTATATTACTAAATGTGTTATCGATTATGATACTAGCTATTAATTCTTTTTCTCTCGCTCTAACACGTTTGATTAAGTAATAAAATAACTTGATAAGTTTCTATGATTGCACTGTATTATTTGGAACTTCCTTCAATATGAAAGTATCTTTCAAATTGTTCTCGAAAACTAACCAAGAAGATTTTAATTGAAAATGGAAAAATTATGATGATTTTCATGATTTTATTTGTGAAATATAGTGGATTGTTTTTACTGTAATCAGTAAAAATAAAATTATATTGTTGTAGCATTTTGAAGTATGTAAAAACTGTCTGAGAATTATTTAAAAGAAAGATTATACTATTTTTCCAAACGCTACTTCTACTGTAATTTATGTATAATTATAATTTATATAATTATAATTTACGTATAATTATAGAGGATGGAAAAGTTTTAAGTTTTTTTTTTCTATCTATTATAAAATTATTACCAATTTATAGAAATATGTCTATAATTTTTGCAATAACACTCAAAATCGGTAAATCCAAAAAAATTTTAAATAATTAAACAAATTTAATAAAGGCGAAGAAAAATTTAAAGAAAAAAAATGGAGTATGCAAGTATATTTTTAAAAAAGTGCACAAAAAATGATTTTCAGCTTGTAAAATAATTATTCAATTATTAATAAATAATTACGCAATAATTATTCAAACGTAAATCAAAAAGATATAATTGAACAAAACACGTTCGATAATGGTATCTATAATTTAAAATCGTTCGTTTTCAAGCGCCATATTTAAAAAGTCAAGGTACGCTAAATAATGTTCCTCGCACAGCCATAATCAAAGATATAATATTTAATAGACCAGAAACACCACAAATGATTTAAAGATAAATGAATACAAATGATGAAAACTTTATAAATAAACGAAGCATAATTAAATCTGATAATTTTATGTATTCTTCAGACGCATAATAATCGCGGGAAAAATTTATATTGCCATCTTACCTCGTTTAAATGTTGTTTCGCTTCCAATTCTATTTGCTGCAACATTTCATCCTTGAACACGCGGAAACAATTACTATAGACACAAACTGTGAATTAACGTTAATTAGCCACAACTTGAACAAATATTTAACAAAAATTTTAAATTATATCTACTAGAAATCTCTCCACGCACTAATATCAAAGAAGCACTAGCACTAACTGAGAGCGCAAACAGCACGATAGCGATGTTTGCACCACTGACGACGAATCTAGGAACCTATGTCGATTATGTTGGTAATGATATGTTTACGGCTTACATTGAATAAAATAGTGATTTGTTTGCGGCGTTTTTTGTGCGAACTGAAAAAAGAAATAAATGGGCGTGTAGGAAAGAAATTTTCAATTTCTATATTACTCTAAAATGGAAACGAGTACCGAGCAAACACCCATAGCTACAGAAGCCACTTCTAATAATGAACAGGAGCACAATGAAGAGGGCATGGAAGAAACTGAAGATTATAGTTTCGATGGTGAAGATTATAGGCATTTCGTACCACGGGGTCGAGGAGGATTTAGGTGCGTTATAGTTTCTCTTAACACCTCGTACGTCCCTCTCATTAGTTATTGCTGAAAATATTAGAGAAAAAAAGTAAGGTTAGGTTGTCCCTCCCACCACCCGCAATACCTCTGCCTGACCTCTTATGCATGTTTGACCGAAACGATCAAACTTCATATTGCCACGAACTCCTTGTGCCTTAAGTACTATGGAAACGCGACTATTGTTTCTACTTACGCTCCTGTACGATGAAATGATTTGCCCACAATTAAACATTAATTTTATTGATTTGTTTCATGGACTTTCTCTGACAACACAAATTTTCATTTGTGAATGTAAATTGTTCTTTTCACTTATTTGACATAATAATGTGAAAAAAAAGGTAAATGTTACCTTGATAAATATTCAGAATCTTTGCAAAAGCATTGCAAATCACTTTGGCTTGTAAATAAATGATCTTGTATGCAACATTGTAATGTTCAAATTTCTCTGTGGAATACAGAATTAGTGTAAAAAAAGAAAAATTAGAACGAAAGATGCTGAAGATGTCTACACTTGGGTAAATGATTCAGACGTATGGTACGTAAAGTACTTAGTCACGACATATAACAATAATTTAAGGGGTCGTGGTAGAGGTGGGTTTGATTTTCCCATGAGAGGTGGACCTCCGAGATTTAGAGGAAGAGGATTTGGACCTAGAGGACCAATGTTTCGGGGAGCCAATAACGGATTTCCATTTGAGGGACCTCCTAGGCCAAATTGTCCACCGGGCCCAGCAGGACCACGTTTCCGAGGGCCACCACCGTTCGATCCTAGTTGGGGACCTATGGGGCCACCGAATCTGATGGGACCGCCAAACCTTATGGGACCTCCAGGAATGGTAATTATCATTTAATTTTATGTCAGTGTGGCATCATTTTCCAGTAAAATGATTACGTATAATGTAACTTTATATGTAATTAGCCACCACCACACATGATGAATGGCCCAATTGGGACAGGTCCGGGACCATACGGACCACCTCCTGGAATGGGACCACCCAATATGAATAACGTAATTTTGATTTACAGAAACATAGAGAGGCGTATAAATACCTTATTCTAACACTTGGAATTTTGTTACAGATTCCAGGTCAGCAGCAACCGCAACAACAGGCCCAACAACAAGCAAACATTCCAGGCTTAGATCTCAATGGAGAGGTATGGGTAGAGACGAAAACACCAGATGGCAAGTCTTATTATTATAATATTCGTACAAGGGAAACTACTTGGACAAAACCAGAGGGACCAAATGTTAAGGTCATGGTACAAGACCAGGTCAGTTACATTCCACTGTACATTTTTATTACTAAATTATATCATTTATATTTTTCTGAACAATATTAATTTCTTTTACAGTTAGAACAACTAGTACATGGAGCTTCTAAGCAAACAGGCTCAACTGGTACTTCTACTTCAACAGCTACTACTCCCAATCAAATGAATGAAAATAGGGTGTCTCAAAATACTGAGCAGTCTTCAACAAATAATGCAGATGCAATCAATCAACTGAGTACTGCTCCTCCTGGTACAGGTCCACCTCCTACACTTGGTGAAGCACCAGACATGAATGCACAATCAACTGATACAACACAAGCAAATGGTATTATTTTATTGGTTGAGAAAATTAAAATTGCTATACATAATGATTTAATAAAAATATCATAATATTGTTTTTTTCAACAGGTACAGCGCCTACAACTGTAACTAATACTCCAACTATGAATACTCCAGCAGTAAATACAAATATGATGCAACCTCCTCCTAATATGATACCTATGCAACACAGGATGCCGAATCAGTTTGGTGGTCCAATTGCAACACAGTTTGGAGCAGCCCCTTTTGGTATGCCGCCGCCAGGATTTCAGCCTTTTGGAGGCTATGGTCCACCACAAGCAAATTGGGGTAATATAATGTGTATAGATGTAATATAATATAATGTAAGATAATATAATATGTAAAGAAAAAAATAATTATATGCTGAACATATTTCTTTTATGGTAAAAACAAATATTTGTCAGGTATGCCACAAATGCCACATGGAGTCATGACTCCCCAAGCTCCGACAGAAGACCCTGCTATATTATCTCAGCTAGATCAAGACTTAGTAGCGTCTGCTATGGTATGGACTGAACATCGAGCTCCGGATGGAAGATTATATTATTATAATAGTAAAGCTGGAGAATCTGTTTGGGAAAAACCACAAGCTTTAAAGGATCTTGAAAGTATGTCTTTAAAATATAAATTTAAAAGCAATATGAACACGACAAAAATATTTATTATTATTACTAGATGCAAAATTGGCGCTACGACAAAAAACAGAAGAAGCAGCTGTCAATTCTGCAAGTGCTGCCGTGACTGCTTCCACTGTTACTAGTAACAATATAGTTACTGAACCCACAAAACAAGAGAAACCTCAGGAAAGTAATCATGAAACCAAAGATAGTATAAAAGAAGCAGACGCTAATAAACCGAAAAAAGAGGAAGCTATTCCTAAAGAAGCTGCTAAACCTCAAGACAAGTCTAGACCAATTTCTAGTACTCCCGTACCTGGAACTCCTTGGTACAAAATTAATTCAGTAGTTTTTATGATGGTTAGGCAAGATTCAAATTTAAATTTTGTTTGCTAGGTGTGTTGTTTGGACGGGTGACGGACGCGTATTTTTTTATAATCCCTCATCGCGTATTTCTGTCTGGGAAAGACCAGATGATCTCATTGGTCGTCAAGATGTTGATAAAATGGTATCTACACCTCCAGATGCAGTGGTACCTCCTAAACCGACGCGTCAGTCAGATACAAGTGAAAGTAGTGATGATGATCAACCAACACCAGCGAAAAAAATAAAGCAAGAAGATACAAAAAGTGAATTATACACACGATGTTTTATGTGGGAGATATAAATATTTCATATATTACTAAAATTACCATATTTCTCATTTTAGCTGCAGCACCAAAGGAAGAAGAGGAAAAAGAAAATAAAAAAACTATTGATATCGGGAAAGAAGCTGCAATAGAGGCTGAAGTACGAGCTGCCAGAGAAAGGGCAATTGTTCCTTTAGAAACAAGAATTAAATCGTTTAGGGATATGCTTGCAGAGAAAGATGTAACTGAATATAAATTGACATCAATATAAAATCAGTATAAAATAAAATTTATTCAATTTAAATAATTATTCTTGCTAGGTATCCGCATTTAGTACATGGGAAAAGGAGCTTCACAAAATTGTGTTTGACCCTCGGTACTTACTTTTGACGTCGAAGGAAAGAAAGCAAGTTTTCGAGAAGTACGTGAAGGAGAGGGCAGAAGAAGAGAGGCGAGAAAAGAGGAACAAAATGAAGGAACGGAAAGAACAATTTCAAAAATTATTGGAAGAAGCTGGTCTTCATGGAAAGTACGTCATACCTTTAAAACATGTTAGAAATTTTAGAGAAAAATCTAATTTACTTTTTGTTAATTAATAATAAATTAATATTTTTTTACCTAGATCTTCATTTAGTGATTTTGCTCAAAAACATGGGCGTGATGAACGGTTTAAGAATGTAGAAAAGATGCGTGAACGGGAGAGCCTATTCAACGAATATCTGCTGGAAGTGCGAAAGAAGGAAAAAGAGGAAAAAACAGCAAAACGAGAACAGGTATTTTCATTTTATTAATATTATTGATCTTGTTGCAATGAAAACATTACTTTTCAGGATTCGTACTACGATATCAAAATCTTAATTGAAACTTTTCCAATTTACCTTCAAAACATTCACTACCTTAATCAATACCATAAATAAGAAAAAATCCTATAAATATTATTTCATTCACGCGATAAAAAAACAAAAGTTTTGAAATATGGGAGAATTAAGGTACTTATTATTCTGTCTAAAAAATTTTAAAACTATAACAAATACAGTATTAATGCTTTAAAATGTTTCGAAATGTTTGAAAATATCTTATGTATTATTTTTCGTACCTCAATTTTCCAGATATATCAAAGTATCATTTAAAAAAAAAAAGAAAATAACGTTTTGGAATATATCCATTAAACCTTTCCTCTTTTCATATCAAATTTCACTTTCATATATACATCCTTCATTCCGTCATAATATCAACAAAGGAAATGTGAAATGAAAACGTAGTATATAATATATTCGCGATAAGTTATACAAAACCTGAATAAGTCTTTATTTAACACCAAAGCAAAATTTGTATTGTTTTACTGTTCAAAAAAGATATAATATGCGATGATACGTAAATGAGTAATAAATAACAAAAGAAATATTCTAATCTTAAATTAGACAGGATATAATGTATAATAAATTTATATTTTCAGCAATAATTAATCGTTCTTTCAGGTTCTATAGGTATGTTACTATTTTGTTCCACTTGTAAGATTTATCTAATATGAATTCCTAAATTAATGGCTGAAGAACACATACCAGGAGAAGTTTCTCTAATAATTCTCTACTCCAGTAGATTTTCTCGATAGACAAAAGTTTTGTAGCTGTAAGATGGGAGATGTAGAGAATAAAATCTTAGTATGTGACGGTTCCTTATATACTTATGTGTTCTGAACTCTCCACTTCAGTCAGGAGGCAGGCAGGACAGGTTCCGTATGTGGAGTGGCTTGGTTCTGAAGCTGGTTGGTGGCATGGATGATGTCATCTACCATCCCCACCTACACTGCGTGGCACAGTTGGCACACCCTCGCGCGCCGCATTCTTTACTCCAAAGCAGAGTCATGAGAATGAACGAACTCGGTATTTGTATATTACTCGTAATCCTCGTTACTTCAAAAGATTAACTTTCCCCCAAAAATCAAAACCAATTTCAAAGAAATTAAATATATTATCAGTAAAAAAAGAAAAACAAAAAAAATATGGTGTCAACCCCAATGGTAGCATCAATTCCAAACTCATATTTGCAGATCTTGTTCTGTTTTCTGGAGATAAAGAACCGTTTTTTTATTTTGAGAAACAAAAGCTACCAAACTATTTTATGATTGATGTATCAACATAAGAACAAATTCATTTTTTTCTTTATATTACGTTTATCGATTTCATAGTTTTGTTGAACTCGATAAATAAATAAGGGAAATATACGAAATATCATTTTTGACAGTTCTTATGTCAATACATAGCATACTTTGAAAGTTTAAAAAAACAATATCAGAAATTGACATACATCTCAATTGGTGTCAAGATATTTCTTTTGTATAAATAATATCTTTTTAAATTATTACAAAGAAAAGTATTTGCTATCAAATGTAATAGTGATATTTTTGTTTAAAAATTTAATATATTTGAAGGAACATGAGATCAGATTGAAATGATAGAATGAGTGTGCTTTTATTTGGTTTGTATTCTTCAGAGAACCTTGACTGCTTTTGTCTTAATAATAATAGAAGTGGACATTGCAATCCTATTGTGTTTAGATAAAAATTAGACAATTGTGGCACAAATTTCTTACTATCTTAAAATTGTATAGGATCAGGATCCGAGTAATAACTATAATAAAAGATTCAAGACCGAAATGTGCCAACAACTCTGGTCAACTTTTCATTATGAGATAGACGTGTATAAGTTTACGTAAATAACAAATTATTATTATTATTATTATCATTATTGTTATTATTATTATTATCATTATTATTATTATCATTATTATCATTATTATTATTATTATTAAATTGAAACCATACAGGTCGTTCACAAATTACCTAATGGGAATATAAATTAAAATTTTTTATTTTTAATAATATAGAAGTATAGGAACCAGAGACATGCAATTCATTAATTATATTACTAATAAAATCTGAACATTTTTTGAACAGATTAGAATTGTATTAGTAAAAAAAGAAACTTCAAAGATTAAATTTAAAATTTTTCTATTTTTTATATTATAAATTTTATTACATCATATTTACTGCATCATTCACAAGACATCGACATAATTCTTGAATAAGAGTAATAAAAAGAAAATATGAGATTATTATTATTTTGTGTAAGTACTGTAGAACTAGACATATAGGGCAAGTAAAACCTCATTTCGTAATTTGAACGGCTAAAAAAGCTTTTAATATTTTCAAAATCTCCTGACGATATACTAACGCATTTTTTCTTTTCAGCAAGGGCAGCAGATAAAAATTTATCCGTTTTATATTCCGTCTCATCATTAAATAACAATATACTTCCTCTTTGTATTTTTACATTTCAGTACCATGTCTTGTTACATTTCATATACTGCACAATATAGAATATATTTAATGATGATTCGGTTAGCAAATAATTATCTTTACAGCTATAATGATTATAATTTTTTTCAGCAAATCTGACCAGCTTATTTCATTAAAAATTCCAACAAGTAGAGCCCTTAACGTTGTGATACCTCCTGACACGAACGAATGACATGAATGACTATTTCTTCTACCCCTAACGAAATGTAGTTTGAAAACCAATAAAAAGGTTTGCAAGTTGACATAGTTTGATCCACATTACAAGCCATAAATTTTTATAGACACGTACATATAATATTATACACAATATATCTATATATTAATAATATAAACTGAATTGTAATGTGGCTGAACATGTATTCATTGGTTGGAAATTCTTAAGCGTGCATGATAAAACTGAAACAAGCAAAAAAAAAAAAAAAA